AGTTCATAATCCCTTGCTTCCTTCTTCATTCAGCAAGTAAGAAATTGATTCATCATGGAGGCAGCATCTGAACATGAGACATGATTTACTGCATAAAATATCTACAAAGTTGTTGTCGTTATACCAAAAACCACTGAAACTTAACCAACATTACAACACATTATGTTGAGAAAACAAGGAGATGGTTTGCCAATAATTTCAGAGCCATTGGTAAATTGAGTCACGGCAACTGGATTTTTGTTTTGTTTTTTGGGAAGTCTAGTTGCCATGACTTAACTTACAGACAACTCTACCTGGATGATTAAGAATCTTTATCAACATTTTCAGAGTCACATTGCTTCTATGAGAGTTTTCAATACCTATTTTTCTCTCCTCTAGGACATGATGGCTGGCATCATCAGCTCTAACAGCAAACAACAAGATACTACAATGTGTTATTATGCATGTCAAATGATGAACCAGAGGACGACACTTAGGTTGAAGATGAGAGGCTGAATTAACACAAGAGCAATCTGCTCATGGTCATTTTCTTTCTGTTTAGATAAGGAAGTATCACTGAATGAACCATGGGGCATGGATTGCCTAAGTCAAAGGGAACACCTTCCCCATTTGTTTGACCTCAATACTCTTGGCATTCAGGAAATCTGTACAGATGCTTATCTTTCACTAAGTTTTGCTACCAGACCCTTGCACATCACCATGGGAGACCATCAGAAACTTTAGCATTTGTTGTGGCTCCTAACATGAAGTGGCCATTAGTATTAAGCTTGGCATGGCTAAAGAAATGGAACCCCATAGTGGATTGGAGAAGGGTGCTTGAAATTCCTGAAGAAGAGAACCTCTCCCGCATCCAAAGGAAAGGGCCGGAGGCATGGACTATGTCGCGAATCAGCTTCTGCCCTCAGTATTCTGGTGGGAGGCTCAGCAGAGCCTCCCACCAGAATACCAAGACCTGGCCAAAGTGTTCAGTGAACAGAGGTCGGATGAACTTCTGCCCCATCGACTAACACACTGTGCCACTGAAATTAACTCAGGGGCAAAGCTTCCAAAACCGAAGATGACTCCAAGAGAACTTAATGCATTTTGTAAGTTTATTGAAAAGAACTTAGCACAGGGTTTCATCCAGCCTGCAAAACCCTGGGTAGCAGTCCTTGTGCTATTCAGAGAAAAGAAGGATGGGATGCTTCGTCTCTGCATAGATTATAGAGGCTGAACACTGTATGCATAGAGAACCTATACCCCCTCCCCCTCATGAAGGACAGGATAGCACACCTGTCAAAAGGAAAAAAATTCTCCAAACTGGATTTGCGGGAGGCGTATTACCACATAAGAATAAGGGAGGGGGATGAATGGAAAACTGTTTAATTGCCCCATGGGTTGTTTCCAATTTGAGGTGCTGCCTTTTGGCCTGCAAGGGCCACCTGCTGTGTTTATGCAATTAATTAATGAAGTTCTGTGGGAGCACCTCTACAAAGGGGTTTTAGGTTACCATGATGACATCTTGATCTACATGGAAACCAAGGTTAAATTAGAGCGGTACTGAATAAACTGTTATATGCCAAACTCTCTAAATGTGAATTTCACAAGGATCATATTGACTATTTGGATCATCACATTTCTAGTAAGGGGGTCGAAATGGACCAAGAGAAAGTACGAGCTGTGCTAGAGTGGGCTCCTCCTTGTACTAGAAAGCAGCTGTAAAGTTTTTTAGGTTTGCAAATTTTTACCAGCAGTTCATTTCCTCATTTGTGCAAATCGCATTCTCCATCACAAATCTATTAAAGACTAAGGGAGCAGACAAACTGAAACCCAACGATCCACTCCACTGATGGGGGAGTGTCAAGCCACATTCAAAAGTTAAAGAGACTTTTCTCTATGGAGCCGGTTTTAAAGTACCCAGACCTGGAGAAAGCTTTTGTCATTCAGGCCGATGCTAGCGATGTGGACATAGGAGAAGTCCTACTCCAAAGGAACAAGGAAGTCCAGCTACAACCTTTTGCTTATACTTCTAAAAACTCTCTGAAACTAAGCAGTGGTGGGCAGCCTGGGAGAAGGAAGCCTATGCCGTACAATGGGCCCTTCTGACCTGGAGACATTTCCTAGAGGGGTGCAAAATACCATTCCAAGTGTGCACTGATCATAAGAACCTGGAAGCAATGAAATCTCCCAGGAAATTGTCCCCTAAACAAGCATGGTGGTCCCAATATTTCCACCGATTTAACTTTACAATCCATTACTTCCCTGGGGTGGGGAGGAACTTCTTAGCAGATGCTTTATCTAGAATGCCTCAATATAACAGTGCTAAATTGGAAGTAATTGAGCCATTTATGCCTCCTAAGCAATTTGCAGTGCCTGTCACTACTCGGGCAGAGCAAAACCACGAAGCCAATAGATCGAACAGCACGCCAGAGTTTCAAAAAAAGCACTAGAGACTGATGAGTGGTTTCAAAATCATAAGAACTTATGCTTAATCAAAGATGACCTGGCCTGGGTTGGAGAGAAACTATACATGCCAGCAAGCTTAAGACTGAGAATAATGCAAGCTAGGCACGATTCTAAGATTGTGGGACATTTTGGATTTGTCAAAACTCTATATTTACTAAAAAGGCAATTTTGGTGGCCTTCTTTGAAAAAGGACATAGAGAACTATGTGGTGAGCTGTCCCACATGTGCTGCAGCAAAGGCAAGGTAAGACGCTGGGATCTTTACAGCCAGGGGGGAGCCCTTCAGCATCCTGGATAGAGATATCTATGGATTTTATTGTAGAGCTCCCTGAAAGCTCTGGAAATACAGTTATCTGGGTAGTTACGGACTTATTCTCTAGACAAGCCCATTTCAGCCCTTGCCCCCAAATCCCAACAGCCAAAATGCTTGCTAACCTGTTTTTGCAACATATCTCTCACTTCCATGGGGCCCCACAACACATCATATCTGACAGGATGGTCCAATTCACTTCTAAGTTTTGGAGAGCTTTTCTAGATCTTTTGGGTTCTAGTCAAGGACTCTCATCTAATCATCATCCTCAAACGAATGGTGGTGGGGGGGAACAGAATGACTGGACTCAGTTCTAGACCAATACCTTAGATGCTTTATCAACTATCAGCAAGATAATTGGACAGACATTTGTCCCCATCCCGGAGTTACCCTCCAAAGAACCTGAAATCCCCTCTTTGCAAGAATGGATCAAACAATTACAAAACACCTGGCCAGTAGTACGTAAAGCACTAGATGAGGCCAGAAATGCCTATAAAGCTCAAGCTGATAAAAAGAGGGTAGAGCAAAAACCTTTTAGGATTGGAAATAAAGTTTATCAGTCTAAAAATACTTAGAAACCTTGCAGCCCTCTAAGAAGTTGGGGCCTAAATTTGCAAGATGTTTTCCTATTAAGCACATTATTAACCAGTGATAGTGGAACTAGAGCTCCCTAAGAGCCTCAGACAAATCCATCCTGTCTTTCATTGTAGTTTACTCAAGTCTGAGATTACATCTACCCCTAGGCCTCTGGCTCCTCTCATGCCTGTGCCAGTGTGGGTGGAAGGAAAGCATTTTGAAATACGTGAAATGGTCAACTCTTGAAAACACCATGGTTCTACCCAATACTTAGTAGCTTGGAAAAACTTTCTCTCTGCACAAAACAAAAGGGTGTATAAGCATGTTAAAGCTCTTAAACTACTTAAACGATTTCGTGCCAAGTATCCTGACAAGCCTGACTGATGTGACTGTTTTATTTGTTTTCCTCCTTTTCCCTGTTTGTTTTACATGTGATTTCCCATTTTCTATGGGGTCCATATGTCAGGCCCCAAAGAAATGTATCCAAAGCTCGCTTTATAGCTTTCTTTGTTGCCTGCCGTTCTGTTGGGAGGGGGGAGTCTTTGGGGATGCTTTGCACTGTCTGCTTTGTTGCCTTGTTGCCCTTCCTCCAGGGGATGGAATGTCTCGCTCTTATCTGAGAGATGTCTTGTGCTTGGAGCCAGAAGAAATCGAAAGTGAGAGAGACCCCAGAAAGACCGGTTACCAAAACATGATGCCACCTGTGGATTGGCTAAGATTCAAATGAACACTGGGACACTGGGGGGGGAGGAGTATTGAATGCTACTTTTAATATATCGCTTTGTGGGTTTTTCTCTCAGATCTCACCTTGATTCCCTGCTGTCACTAGCCCTTAATAAAAGTTTCCTTTTGAGACAATGCTTATTTCAAGAGTTCTGCTTTCTTGGGTGGCTTAGCTGAGGTAGGTCCTTACAGAATCTCTAGAATCTCTATGTAGCCAAAAGTGAGCTAAATCCAACCCCCCCCCCAAATCTGTTGTCCCTTATCTAACTCCTAGCAGGTGTTAACCATTAATTGCAAATATTCCTTTGGATAGGTGTAAATCAGTTTAATTGGACCTTCACCTATGGAACTGATCTTTTACACCTGACAGCATCAATTTTAATACTGTAAACTTCAATGAATATAATTCCTACACACAAAAGCTCTTTTGGGGTCTTCCATAGTTTTTAAAAATGAAAAGTGGTCCACAGAGAAAAAGGAATCGCTTTAAGAAACATTTACTTGAATAAAATAGTAAATGCATCTAGTATGTTTACTTCTTTATGCACATTATAAAGAATTGTCTGAAATATTTTGATTGATTTTTGAGTACAATTGCTGGACTTTACAGCTGCCAATCATTTCTTTATAATATGTTCGTAACTAATTTTAGAAAGCTGAATAATAATGACAAGTAGCTGTAAAGTTCCAGGGAGATTGCATTCTGATAATTTGTGAAACGATTTCAAGTAAAAATAGTGATCTTCAAAAAAACTGAAGAAGGTCCCTTCCAACATTATTATTATTATTATTATTATTATTATTAAGAAATAACATACTATGTGTAAGTTGTTCGTTTTATCTAAAAATTGAATACTAGTTCCCGATTACTTTTTTTTTCCAAGCCAAATTTCAAGTAAGGGCACACAAAACTCAATAGCAACACAAGTTGTATTTTCATGCATTACCTCTCACTTTCCTTTATGATCTCTTTTCCTTTCTTCCAAGTAAAAGTTGGCCTTGGAGAAGCTTTAGGCTTACATTCAATGGTTGCATCACTACCAACTTTAACAAAAGTTATTTTTTTTAAGAAGGTTTTGGAGAAATCTGGACCCACAGCTGAAAGATAACAGAGAACTCAGAATTAACGAAAACCACCATCAAATTGTCTTGAAATAAATGTTGACTTTATTATGAATTCTTTTAGAATGTATCATTATTGGTTTACATAATTAACCTTCAGAATATCCCCAAACCACGGTTAAAGGTAATAAATAAAACAAGTGGAACATTGGTTTTCATTAACTAATTTGTTTGGTACATTCTCTATATTCCTGAAAAGCTATTCTAGAGACTGACAAATCAGCTAGGACAATGAACATTGTGTTCTGGATAATCACTGAAAAGGGTTGTAATCTCACACCAATTAAATGTTGGATGAAAAACAGTGTGATTATGAAATGCTTTCTACACGTTAATTTCAGTGATACTAAACATTGGTTTTTGTTCCCTAGGAATTTCATGACCTTCATGGTTGCTCATGACTGTAACATTAAGTAATAACTTGCATCTGTAAAATAACTATCACAAATCAAATAATGCAGCCAGAACTTTCAAATCACCCCACATCTTCACAAAACAATTTGCAATTTGTTTTCACATAAGCAATTCATATCTCTGTGCTCTGCCTCCATCCTTGCAAATAAAGCTACAGATTAGCAGATGACAAATAATAATCTATGAATGAATGAATGAACATATACTAACTCTGAATGGCTACTTACTGTGAATATAGTTTTAGATTTTCAAATCTGCAACTAATTCTACCATATTCTCTTAACACATTTCACAAAGAACTATTATTAAATAAAGTACTGTGATATACTGTAGGACTGGACAGGGACATCTGCAAAAAGATTAAAAAAGAAAAACAAAATGGCAGATGGACTACATAATTAAAGCCCTGACCCTTTTTAATGCTTGTGTTGCATATTTAAAAGGCATGAGGGTTTGGTTGCACAGTTCTGCCTGCATCTTCATTTTTTAACCCTCATCCCGTAGTCACCCCTAGGACTAAAATAATGTGATTCATTTAGTATTATTAAATCTTCCACATTCCTTTTTTAAATATATACTAGTCCTATACCTCTATGTGGCCTTTCCCCCATATCCAGTCAATGTCTGTATTGTGTCATTTTATTCACTATTATATCTAAACATGGTTTCACAAATAAACATTTATTTATTAAGCCTATAGGAAGCATTTTTCCTTGAAAACAAGATCTATTTATCTTTTGCTGAGGTGGAGAAGGGGAAATGGTTAATTGCATTCTCCTACTCAAAACTGATTTTTCAGTACCTGACTGCACTGTAGCTTAGCTTCTAAAGAACTATAAGGTAGTGAGGCAACAAATGTGTTGGGTAACTTCTGGGGGTGAGGCTGAAGCAGACCTGGAGAAAACCATTTCTGTGTAATTTATTTCTAGGTGATTAGTAGGAGATCTATTCTGTATTTCCCCTGATGTAATGTGAATCAACTTTTCTTCAATAGCTGCAGGGTTCACAATGGCAAATGAATGTTTGTCATATCAAGCATCTAGTGAGGGAAAACTGATCTATCATTGAGTAGTAATAATGATTTAAACAGCCATTGAAAAACATGAGCTCAAAGATGTTTTCCATCAGATTTATTGGCTCACAGAATAAGTGATCCATCACGCCATCACAGAATCACTTAGGAGATTGGAAGACAGAACATCAAGCAGCAAAGATAAGAGCTGTGAGTAATGTTGTGAATAAGGAGACAGAAAGATATTATATAAAAGAATTACAATTAATGCTCCCCCCTTTCTGTATTAGAAACTATCAGGAAAAAGGCAGACACCAGTATTACCAGGGAGACTACTTACTTCATTCAAAGTGAGGTAGAGTATATTATTGTATGTGCTCTCTAATTAAAAATCTTCTAAATGTAATAGTCTTTTCCCCTGTTGTGCTTTCACTATACAACTTTATGTTTAATATTTTATAATGTCAGGTCATCTAATCATTTCAGGGAGTGATATTTTTTTTTGCAAGGTGGAAATATATTTCAGGAAGCTTTATATCATGGCTCAATAACCAAGGATTAAATACTTAAAAAAACTATTTCCTAATATAGAATGTCACTTCATTCAGCATCTGGCCAAAAGAAAAAAAAATCAAACTGAACCAAATCCAAAAAGGTCTCTCTTCTAGAAAAAAAATCTATGTTGTTATAGAACATTTTAGAACAGTAACACAGACCTTCAGTAAAAAACAGCTCTTTCGGTTTATACTTTTGATCCTTGGAGGTTTTCATAGATGGGGAGAGAATTCTCATTTCCAGTGAGGAGAGATTGGCAAAATGTGCCTCAAACCTTTATTGCCCTCAGTAGAATTAAATTCATGTGCTCTCTAAAAATCCAAATACTTTTTTTTTCAAATTCATACAAGTAGTCCTCGACTTAAGACCACAGCTGAGCCCCAAAGTAAGAGATTTGTTAAATGAGACTTCCGGTTTGCTGATGCGGTTGCCACAGACACTGGAAGGTGAGCTCTGTTTTCTACGTCCGAGTTCGCGCCGCTGGGGGACCCTGGAAAGGGCCAAAAATTGCTCTATAGGGGTGACAAGGAAGGAGGGGTCTCCCGCTTATTATGGGAGGGTAGTAGCCCTTCCGCTCGATCCGAGGCAGCCCTCCAAACCGGTGGATGAAAGACCGGTCATAGAAATATGGCCTGTCACTAGGCTGCAGACAGCTGAAGTCAAACTTATCACCAGGCACCTATAAAGCAGCGCAGATGAGACTGGGTGAGATCTGAACTCCTCTTCAATCCTAACTATTTTTTCTACCTGTATAAGCTGCCCAAAGTATTTCCCCCCTGTGCAGAGAGGGAAGGGAAATTTTATCCCACCCTCTAAAAACAGCGGTGACTTAAAAACGCTGAAAGAATAACCTGATTCTAACTGGATTTCTATCTTTCTAAAATTTGAGGACTAAAAGATTTCTTATTTTTATTAAAGATTTGGGTTTTTACTTACAAAAAAGAAGTAAAATTGGGGAAAGGATTATAAAAAATTTGGACTTTTTGTGAGAAGCCCAACTGTGTTCTATACTCAGTGACAAAATTATTTTCACTCTTTGATTGTAAAGCTTTTAATTTAAGAGAACATGGATGAAGAGCAAGAACAGATTCTCTTTATGTTGAAAGCAGTTTATGAAACTATTCTTACACCTTCTGATGAAATAAGAGGCTACAGAAAATAACAAGATGTCAGCTTAGATATAAGAACACAAACTTTGATTACAACTAAAGAATCAACTACATAGAATATAATAGAAAAAGTGGAACAATCAAATACTATGATAGAAGATTCAACTGATCAACAAACACAGTTAATGGAAAACCCAGAAAAAGGACTGACACTGAAAATGGAAAAGACTTTCTATATAAACCAGAAGAAACCTGAGGATCAAGAAGAAGAACAGACCAAAGGGAAGATAAACATTTTAGGACAACTACGTCAAGATGGAAAAATAGAGAGACAATTTGTTAGCCTTCCCAAAAAATGGCAACTGGATGGCCTCCATTATCTCAAACAATATATATAATAACAGAGGTAGATCTATTTGATGACTTAAAAGCACGGATATGGAAGGTGAGTTGGCAAAGAAAGAAAGCTAAAATAAGGCTGAAGAAAATTGGGGTTTTGACTTATTAGTGAGGATTAAAATAGAATATACTCAAATGGACAAGATGTGTACTTTGAATACTAGATTTTGTTATGAAATGAGATAAAGAAAACTTTGGTCATTTAAAACCTGGAAGTATAAATATTAAAAGTTAAATTTGAATATTGATTTGTTTTGAATGTAAAAGTAATTAAGATATATGTAAGCTAAAAATCTATTGATAAATGAAATAAACATGTTTTTATTTAGCTGATATAACAAGAACTGTACTAGCTTAAATATGAGATAGTAGACATTAAGAGAAAAAGAGTGGAAGTATTTGATGCTGAAACAAGAAAGATTTTGGTTACTAAATTTAAGACATTTGGAAATTTATAGAAAATAAGAATGTTATACTGTATTATTAATTAGATGATGTAAGATGGTGAGAAATAGAATATATTCAAATAGACAAGACGTGTATCCTGAATATTAGACTTTGTGATGAATTGTGATAAAGGGAACTTTGGTTATTTAAAACTTGGAAATTATAAATATTAAATGTTAAATTTAAATATTAATGGGAAACTAAAAATTGGGGAAAACTAATTAGGGCATTGATTGTCTATAAAGACTGAATGTTAAAATAACCAGGATATGTATAAGCTAAAAATTATTGATAAATGTAAGAATGTTATTTTTATTTAATTGATATAATAAGAATTGTATTAGTTTAAACATGAGACAGTAAATACTAAGGGGAAAAGAGAGGAAATATTTAATGTGGTAGTTTGAGACTTGTACTAAAGATACTTGTATGTCATTGAATTATCGATTAACTCAGCCGCACATTGCTTTTTAAATACTTAAATGATTTGGTTATACAGTTTTATCTCATCCTTCTTAAAATTTCCTAGAATATTGATTTCTTTAATGTGAATATCTGGGAAAAAATACTGTGCATTTTATTCACTCATTCTAGTATATTTAATTGTTTTCAACTAAGGAACTGTTGTGTACATCATTTTTCCTTTATAGAAATAAATGTAGAAATATTGTCCTTATTTTCATTGTTACACCTTTATGTTTAGGCAAAACTTTTATAGGTACTATAAACAATTTAACATAAGACAAAATTGAACACTTTTATATTATACATAATTTGTATTTCTTTTAAGTATACTGTACAATAATATATTACAGGCAGTCTGTACTTACACACTGTCACTCAGTGACTGTTCAAAGTTAAAACCTTGCTATCCCTCAGTCACATGACTACCATTACAGTCAGTACACATTGTCCTGTGTCTGACCTTTGTCATTTTTTCCCCTTTACAGAGCAAAGAGGTTGGACAGGAAGAGATTAAAAGAGAGGAAGCAGGCCCACCAGGGAAATACCCATCAAAAGTGCTGGTGCTGGCAGCCATG